TCGCTAATATTGTTTATTATAAAACAGAGCATTTACTTAAATATTTGTATCTATAAGAAGAACTTATAAACATAAAAAATGTCTCATATGTACACACGAATACATACGTACATATATATATATATACACACACATATATATATATACACACACATATATATATATATATACATATATATATATATACATATATTCATATATATATATATATATATATATATATACATATATATATACATATACACACACACAAATATATATTATATATATATATATATATATATATATGAATATATATGAAAATATAAACTATTTTCATCTAAGTAGATTTTATTTCGGGTAAAATATTAACGACTATTTTGGATTTAACTACCATTTAATTCGGTTTTGTGTCTTGTAATAAATCCATTTTTATGTGTCGATCAATAAAACAGATGGTCAAATGAAAATTGGTGCTTCTTTAAGTAAGTTACTCTGAAAATCATATCTCTTCGATTCTGGATTTTCCTAAGCTCTGTAAACAACGTACTATGATTGAATGATTGCACAAAAACATGATTTATAAATTTAAATGTTTTAGAGGGGTTTACACATTCGGATACTTGCCGGTCTGACCCGCTAATACCAGCTTGGACTCAGTGGGGGGTCAAGTAAATATCTACTTACCTGGCACAGGGCTCCATCCTTGTGCTGGTAGTATCACGGCTACAACTAGCTTGAACCGGCCCTGACCAGCCTGGACCAGCTATGACAAGCCAAGACCAGGTTAGATCAGCTCTGACCAGCTAAGACCAGCGGCCCGAGTTAAAAACCTCGGGTTCCCACGTTTAAAACCGATTTTATGTTACAACTTGTCTCAGTAGTGAGTCAAGTAAATAGAAAATACTCTGTAGATGTTGCAAGAAGATTTTTTACTTTAAATTTCCTTTTTTTGCAAAAAAAAAAATTCTCAGTGGCGTTGAATGTTCTCCAATGTCATCGTCGCAAGAAAAAAATGGCTGTAAACCTCTGGCCTTGAAAAAACAATGTCGATGTCATACGTAGAGTATACTTCGGTAAATAAAAACGCAATACAAAAACATCTGCTCGGCGATTAAATGTCTCTTTGCGAGGCAGCTGCAAGTATTGGGTATTTAACGCATACAGATAAACAAATAATGTAGTGGATAGCGGCCCGGAATGTGTTCGAATTCCGGTCGGTTTTGTTACATTTACGTTCAAAAAAATAACCTTGCGAAAGGCATGAACCCGTCTCTTCCCTCCCTAGCTGCGTCCTGGGTATAACGATGAAATAAAACCGCTGGAAAGGCCTCTTATCGGGGGTTGCGGCTGAAGACCGTAGAACCACCTCTTAATTGAGCTGTTTTTAGGGCTACTATGAGGCGGTGTGGTAGCACCTGTTAGGGTCCCAGCTATAGGCACACAGTGACCCCCCCCCACAAAAAAACTGCTGTCAAAAGACTTTGAAAGTATAAAAAAATAAAAATGTAAGCAATAGAGTTTAACAGTAAAAAATAATTCTAGTAATAAATTTTAATAGTAATAAAATTTCAGCAATAGATTTTAATAATAAAAAAAATTACCAAAGCTCCAGGAAAATGTAATTTCAGCATTAAATGACCCATAAAGATTTCATATACCGTTAAACAAACAAACCAACAGAAAATCTCCCCTAGTTATGGGTTAAAGAGTACGACAGATATACAGAAACTTCATTCGATTTCTTGGTTTTTCAAAAAATTAAATTTAATGTCAGTCACTATTTCCTGTCTTCTTAATTCCTGTTCTTTTATTGTTCTCCTTAATAATGTTTTTTTTTTTATATTCTCTCACACTCAATAACCCCTTGTTTCTTCGTGGATTACTTCCGGTTAAATTATTAAAATAAACGTGTTTAGCAATACTACGAGAAAGACGACATTGAATACAAAACTCAGCCACCAGACGCTGTACAAAGATGGTTGCACATAGAGCGTACAGACTCTGTGTGTAGAACAAAAACACGACAGATTCCAACGATAGCCCTCCCCCTCTCAAATAGATGTCGATTTAACAGTTTCCCAACCAGTGGCCATAGACACTCGAAGGAAAGTTGACGGGAAAGTTGGCGGGAAGAACTATTTACTCTTATAATGAATAGTTTGTTTTTATTTTATTTTAAAAAAAAAATGAGAAAATGTTATTCTTTTTGTAATAACTGCCAATATTTTCATGACTAAATTTACTAAAAAAAAATTTAAATTGCAAATTTTTACATTTCCATAAAGATTAATCGACAATACATCTCCGCTGAAAGCAAGTTTGACAAAGATTCCAAAACAACACAAACGGGATTGTCTTAAAAAAATTGTTTTTAAACAGTATTTCAATTCTCGGGAAAATTGTTCATGTGTTGAAATCTTTAAACATTTTTATTTTTTAAACGATCATTTTTTTCCGTTCTATCTTTCTTGAAAAAATTAGGTGCTAGAAATTTTATTCTCCTGTTTCGCAGTACTCTGCCCAGCTTCTGAAACGCAAATTTCTGGAATGCATCCCAATCCATCTTCGGATCTCAGCGTTCCACCTAACGTCCTCCAGATACTTAAACGTCCGGACATGATTGATTTTAGTGTCCCCGACATTCAAATCACATTTTGGGCTTATCCTTTTACTGATGACCATGCATTCTTGTAGTTTCTGGTTAGTCCTTTCTTCACGTTCTCCCTCGCTACCTTCTGTAGGAGGGTTTTTTTTCCGTGTCTGCTATCAATACCGTGTCATCTGATTATCTTATGTTGGTAAGGTTGTGGCTGACAATGATAAATCCGGGTAGGATCTCTAGTTCCCTCAATTGCCTCGCTGTAAATGTTGAACAAATCCGGTGTTTACCTTACCTTACGTCTCTCTATTTTTGTATATTCACTGAGCTCATTCTCGATAAGAATGCATGCCGTTTGCTGCCAGTATAGATTCTTGATTATTCTGATATCTTTCCCTAAATATATCAAGGTTGCTGAGCACTCCTAGCAGGTCCTTGTGGCATATTTTGTCAAATGCCTTTGCGTTGTCTATAAAACATAGGTACACGTCCTTCTGCATTTGTATTGCTCTTCCCGATAGCATTCTAAGCATGAATATCGCGTTCCTTGTTCCGATGTCTTTAACGAACGCGCACTGTTCTTGTCCTGTCTCTGACTTGATTCTGCTACGCGCTCTATTCATCAGAATAGGGATGATGAGTGCCTGCGTCACGCGGTGAGATCTCGTTTTTTTTTTATTATTATTTTACAATATGTCATAATCTCGTCCCCAAAAAATGCCTCGTATCAAGGAGCGTAAATCTGGTTACTAATTTCTGTGCATACCTCAACATTTGACATTTCTTCTTCTTCTTCTTCTTCTTCTTCTTCTTCTTCTTCTTCTTCTTCTTCTTCTTCTTCTTGTTGTTGTTGTTGTTGTTGTAGTAGTTGTTGTAGTAGTAGTAGTAGTAGTAGTAGTAGTAGTAGTAAAGATTACAACGTTTCGGCCCTTCTGTATCTGTCTATATTTCTGAGATGAGGTATTAAGTACATTATCTACATTATTCGGACTATTGTCCTCATCTTTGTCGCCATATTAATTACAACGTTTCGTCCTTTCAGTATCTGTCTATATTTCTGAGATGAGGTATGATGTACACTATTTACATTAGTCGGACTATTGTCCTCATCTTTGTTGCCATATTTATTACAACGTTTCAGCCTTTCAGTATCTGTCTATATTTCTGAGATGAGGTATTATGTAAACTATTTACATTATTCGGACTATTGCCATATTTATCATATTTCACGTTTCGGCCGTTGTACGCCCTGACCTTCTTCAGGTGGGTGGAGTGTCGAACTGAACCCTTTATTTCGCTCGCTCGGGTAGACTGTTCTAGTTGCACTTAACTTTTTGTGTCCGTTCACTGGATATATCTATTTCTAACGCCTTTATCTAATGTGCCATTGTCCTTGAGGATATATGTGTATAAATTTCTCGCTATTATAAACCAGCAGCTTTTTATTACCAGTGCTCATATTGCAAATTTCGTTGTTATTATTGCTTTTCTCTGACACTCCTTATTACTGGTTCCCATATTGTATTCATTTCTATGCTTGCTCGGCCCAGGAGATTTTTGTACAACGACAGAAACGTTGTGATAAATAGGGCAACAAAGATGCGGACAACAGTCCGAATAATGTAAGCTATGCGCTGTTTTCCTCTGTTCCCCTTGCTTTCAATGCCCTTTGATTGTCAAATTTTCCAAACCTTCTTTCCTCAACATTTGTCCGAAATATTTCAACCGTCTATTTCTGATGCTATGTGTAAGTGTCTTTTTTGTTTCCTTTTTCGCTGGAACGTCGTTGTTGCTCACGTATTCAGTCTTTGAAATCCTCAGCATCCTTCTGTAGAACCAGATTTCTATTCTCTTCTCCATCTATGTCCAGAATTCATTGCCATAGATGTACTAATATTACATAGCAGTTCAGTGCTCTTTTCTTTTTTTTTCAATGAAATTCTCCTGTTTCTTCATACTTTGCTTAACTTTTGAAAGGCATCTTTCGCCATCCCAATGCGACTTCGGATTTCGGTGTCGCGTCAGTAAATAACCAGACTAAGCATCAATGCAAGGAATGCCCTCCACTCGCTTGCCGGCACGTGTGCTCCCAGTCAGCCTGAATATCAGAGTTTCCCATCTCTTAGACTAGCTACCACCCAAACTTAAAGAAGCCAATCTGCTCTACTATTTAAACCCGTAAACATATGATAATGGAATGTGAAATATTATCCTTAGCACATGTTGAGAAAATTTTCTGTCGTTAAAAAGCGCAGTTTTAATTGAATGCTGACTTGACTAACAAAATATCGCAATATGTATTAATTTTCCAACTGAGTTCGTTGAACATCTGGCTGCTCACTTAAAATCGAGTAAAAAAAATTATAAAATGACAAAGAAAAGGAGAAACTTATGTCGGCATCGGTGGTTCAGTGGTAGAATGCTCGCCTGCCACGCGGGCGGCCCGGGTTCGATTCCCGGCCGATGCAGTTAGTTTTTTTTATATTTTATTTTTCGTTTTTTTGTTTTTCTTCAAGATGATTGACTCCATCTTCTTTTCCTTCCTTTTCTTTTTTTTTCTCATCCCTATCTTTCTGGCATCATTTATTTTGGACTTATTTCTTTCTCATTCGTTTATACATTACATTCATTCGATATATATACTTTTTCGTTCTTTTCCTTCATTCAACTTCGTTTCTTTTTTTTTTTGTCATTCTTTCTTTTCAACCCGTCTTTTCAGTCCTAATTCTTCTCAGATTTTCCCTTCTTTCCTTCCTTCAATCCTTCCTTCCTTCCTTTCTCAATTTCTCCCTCTCTTTTTTCTTTTCTTTCTTCTTTTCTTTCCTTATTTCTCTTTCATTCATTTCTTTATATCTTCTTTCTTTCTCTCTCTCTTTCCTTGTCCTTTTATTTCTTCGTTTATTTATTTCATTCATTCGATATTTTTAGTTTTTCGTTCTTTTCATTCATTCCACTTCGCTTCTTTTTTCATTCTATACCATCTCGTTTTCTTTTTTTTCAACGCGTCTTTTCAGCCTTAATTTTTCTCAATCTTTTCCTTCCTTCCTTTCTTCCTTCCTTCCTCAATTCCACTCTCTTTTTCTTCTTTTCTTTCTTTCATTTCTTTATATCTTCTTTCTTTCTCTCCTTTCTTCTTGTTCTCTATTTATTCATTCTTTTATTTTCCTTCCTTCCTTCCTTCTTCACTACACGCAATTATTCCTTACTTCATGTTTCATCATCTTTTCAGTTTCCACTGTTTTCTTCTTTCTTTCTTTCTTTCTTTCTTTCCCGGCTTCCTTCATTTCTTCCTTCTTCGTAACCCATATCCATTTTTATTTCTTCCTTCTTTTCGTTCATTCATTCCTTCTTTCTTCCCTTCTTTTCTTTTTTTCTATCGCATTTCTTTTCTTTAATTTTCTTTTCCTTCCTCTCCATTTTTTTTCATTACTTCTTTTGTCTATCTTCCATTTTTATTGCATCTCTCCTTTTGCCTTTCCTTCCTTTTATCCTTATTTTATTCTTTCTTTCCTTCCTTCCTCCATTCTTTCTTTCTCTCTTCTTTATTTCTTTCTTTTCTGCTTTATGTTCTTTGTTTCTTTCCTTTTTTTATTTCTTTCCACTTTTATTACTTCTTTTCTGTTTTCCTTTTTATTTTCCATTCTTTACTTTTTTGCTTCCTTTCTTCTTTCTTTCCTTCTTTCCATCCTTCCTTCCTATTATTCCCTTTTTCTTTTCTATTTGCTACCTTCTTTCCTTTTATACCTTCCTCTCTGGTTTCTCTTTCAGAATTTCATTTTTCTTTTCCTTGCGATATTCACTTTTATGTACCTTTCTTTCTTTCTTTCTTTCATTCTTTCTTTCTTTCTTTCTTTTTTATTTATTTATTTGATTCTTTCTTTTCTCCTTCCTTCATTCCTTTCTTTTATGTATCCTTCTTTCTTTCTTTTTTCTTTCTTTCTTTTTTCTTTCTTTTTATTTATTTATTTGATTCTTTCTTTCTTTCTTTCTTTCTTTATTTATTTGATTCTTTTCTCCTTCCTTTGTTCCTTTCTTTTATATTTCCTTCTATTTTGCTTTTATTATTTCTTTCCACACTTTTTCTTATTTGCTTCATTCTTTGCTGCCTTCTTCTCTGGTTTGTTTTCTGCTTTCTTTCTTTTCTTTCTTTCTTTTCTTTCGTTCTTTCTTTGATTCTTTTCTTCTTTCTTCATTCCATTTTTTTATGTATCCTTCTTTCTTTCTTTTTCTTTGTTTGTTTGTTTCTTTCTTTCTTTCTTCTTTTCTTTCGTTTATCTTTACTTCTATTTTTCTTTCTTCGCTTCTTTCCTCCCTTTTTATTATTTGTTTCATTCTTTTTCTTTCTCTACACCCTTCTTTTCTTCTTTCTTTTCTTCTTTCTTTCCTTCTTTATTTCTTTCTTTCTTATACGTTTCCTCTTTTTCTCCCCTTCCTGAATTACCAAACATAGTTCATTAATTTTCCCCAATTCTGCCCGACTATTAATCTGTAATCTTTCGTATCCCCCCCCCCGCCATTTTAAATGCTTCTGTTTCTCTATTTTTTTGCGTTTTCTCCCTCCCATATTGAACTCCTCATAACATTCTCAGGTTGACTCTTCCCCCCGATTCACCTGTGAGCCAGAGAACGCCAACCATGACGCGATAGTTAGCAAAGCTCGTCACACAGTTCAGGGAGTTTATCCAGTCTTGCCGCCCGTGACGACAGCAGGGTTGAGCTATTTTTTAAAAATAATTTCACCTTTGGGAAGCCGATGAAAGCTACTAAGCTGCTGCAAGGCATTCTTCTTCTTCTTTATGAGCCATGTCCTCTCAGGTGATCATTGCTCTCCACAACATCCTCTCCCTTGTAGCTCTTAATAATCTTTGCTTTTCTCTTATTTCTCCTAAGCCCTCTTCCACCATCCATTTACTCATTTAAGTTATGCCTTGTTTTCTTTTGTCCCTCTTGCCCTCAATCTGTCCCGTGCGTATCAGATTTTCCAGACCCTCTTTCCTCAATATGTGTTTTAGAAATCTGAACTATATCTTCCTGATGTTAAATATTAGTTTTCTTTTTGTTTCCATTTTCTTTAAAACTTCGTTGTTGCTCATACGTTTGATCTGTGGTATCCTCAGCATTCTTCAGTTGAACCACATTTGTGTTACTTTAAATCTCCTTTTAATCTTTGAGATCATCCAGAACTCAGTGATTCCTGAGAGTGAAAGAAAAAGAGAAAAACAATAAAAATAGGCTTCAAGAACACAGATGACGACAATTGAAGTTACATTTAAATTTTTCAAGATCGACAATAATAATAATAATAATAATAATAATAGGCTATATGTACCAAGAGCTTTAGGAGGTCGAGGTCTAAATCAAATTTGAATTAACTCTAAAAATTACAACAATCGGATTGGAAGCCTACCTCATGAAACCAATGACCCTCTCCTACAAATAGTAAAACACGAAACCTATTTTCTCAACAAAGAAGCTGCCCTCTTCAAGAAACAACTTAATATAACTGGAATCCTACCAACAAAAAATGAAGCGAATACCATCTACGCCAAACGAGTAAAGCCGAAAACAAAATAAGTTGGCCAAATGAAATTATAACAAAACTGGTAGGACAAGGCGTTGCGTGGCAAATACTTAAAAAAGAACGAAAGAGGCAAATATGGACGAACAGAAAAGACATCAGTGACTAAAGAGCACCGAGTTGAAAGCTGAGACAGAAGGCCTAATTATTGCAGCTCAGAGCGAAAGCCTTACAAAAAGATCCTATCAATGTCACATAAGCAAGGATGGAACTAACCCGAAATTCAGGATCTGCGGAAAATATGATGAAACTGTCGATCATATTATCTCAGGATGCCCGGAACTGGCAATAAAAATGAATATACCCAGAAACATAACCAGATAGTGACATACGTGCACTGTGGGATATGCAAGAAGCACAAAATCGAAACCAGTAAGAGATGGTATGACCACCAACCAGACACAGGTGCCCCAAAATAACGATGTAACTATTATCTGGGACAAGTGCTATAAATTAAATGACAGTTTTACTATAGGGCGCAATGACCATAGTTTGGATCCGGCTGTACAGGATACAAAGCAGGAAATATAACACAGAAACAATAATAATAATAATAATAATAATAATATCAGCCTGACCCGGTTACAGACATAGGGTCTGTAACAAATAACATGAAAGATTCGTGGGGTTATTATCCAGTTGGTTTATATAGCTCTTGGTACAACACAACTTAACCCTTCCCGCATCAATCTATATAGTGAAACTAGGCCTTGTTTAAACTTCTGGATGGGCTGGGTTCAAAATCTTGGAATCAGGAAATCTGTTTGGCAGTTGACGTGGATTTCAGAGGCACTCAATGCAGGATCTCAGCCCAAAGTATCCAAGCCCCCTAAAGTCATCTGCTTATATGCACTTCGGCCTCAAACTGGCGTGGGGGCCGAAGGGTTCTGGGGATTCGGTGATTACCCAATTTTTAGTAATTCAATAAAGTATTTTTCTTTGTTCCCTGTTTCTGCTTTCTTAATCAACTTACTAAATTTGGAAAGTTATCCACCTTCCATAAAAGTAGTCACAGGGATAGCGCTTCCCTTAACTCCAACTTGTTTCACTTCACATCTCGCACTGCTACTCTACACAGACTAAATTATGCCCCTTCCTCCTTCCTTCTCGTTATTCTAACTCTGCCCACTTCTCAATGCAATAACTGTCTTTGTGACGGATCTGATTTTTAAAGTGCGTAGGAGAAAAGGCGAGGTGTATTCACCTTATTAATTTCAATTCTTTAACTCCCTTTCCTGGACCCATCAGTCCAGCAAAAACATAAACCAAATCACCTTCTTCATTTTAACCTTCCGATTAATAGATAAAAAATATTTCCCAATTTATTTTCGTCAACGAAAATATATTTGTTTACCTAAATTCTCAACAAAGGGGCACGCTGCTTTTCATCCTGGGGCCGGTCGCCGTCTTATCGAAAACAAACCAGATCAGCTGCCTGTTATGACTGATCGAGTATCATAATCCAAAACTTCACAGTGGGTTCATTCTCTGTTTTAATTTCTCAATTCGTTTTCGCTAACGAAAATATAATTTCCATCTGTTTCTCTTTTCGCCAATGTCATGTGCTTTTCTAATTTTCTAAGAAAGAAAGAAAGTCATTTCACAGTTTGCTTTACCCGCATGCCAGATTTTCGATAGATAAAGAAAGTAAACTCTCCGTGCATCGTTCCGATTTGTAGGTGTGAGGCAACCAAGATGGCCCTTCACTTCCACATTACCAGGGAAAATGTCTTCCATTCTCTTTTTCTATCTCCCTGTCATCCAATTTATATTTCATTCCGGGCTTAACCCATTTTCTGCTTAAATTAATGTTTAACCACCCAGTTTTATATTTTTACTTAAATTATCTGGTTTGCACAAGAGAAAAATTAAGTAAAAGATTCAATGGCCACAGATATGCTGTCAGAGAGCAATGTGATAAAATTGGAGCTTGCAGAACATTTTATTACAAACGATTGTAATTTCGGCAAGCATCTCAAGGCGCCAATTCCGAAAATATATTCAGAATCTACCGACGTGTCAACCCTTAAAAATCATGCGGATAGTTACGTATGCAAATTACAAACTTCCCGCCCCCCGGAGGAATGAACAGAATGACCGGAGAGTTCCATAAGTTTTAGACTAAGCATTTTGATTAATTCCTCTTAGTAACTAATCAATTAACAGAAAATTCCAAGATGAACAAGATCACCATCCTATTAGGCACGTTTCAGTGTCATGCCTTCAGGCTGTCGGCGTTTCATTCGTTTTGACGCGTCCATTATCAGTACAACCGTTTATTCATTATTTGACAAGCGACGTTTGTACGGCCTTGAAGGTCATTCCTTGGTCCAGTGACCTTTCTCAGCCCAGGAGAGTTTTGTATCGGGAATTAGTGGATTGGATCGCGAAGGATTCGCCCTGCGACCGGTTCGGTTTGTCGGCGACCGTCTTGCGCAGTTTCTGGTCTTGGACGCTGGTGACGGATTATCTCAAGCAACCCTGAGTTTTCGCTTACCTGGCGATTGTTTCAAATATAGGCTACCTCTTAATAACGTAGCCTTCAGATGGGGCTTGCGGATTTGCCTGACTGTCACACGTGAGACGTTCATGACCTTCATAAGGATAGTTACATATGCAAATTACTAACTTCCCGCCCTTTGGGTATGAACAGAAGGAGAAGAGAGTTCCATAAGGTCTATTCTAAGCTGTTTGATTAATTCCTCTTAGTAACTAATCAACTAACGAAAAATTCTAAGATGAACAAGATCCACACAACATTTTAAGGACGTTTCAGTTTCATGCCTGATCGCTGGCGGCGTTTCATTCGTTTTGTCATTGTCAAAACACAAGGACATCTTTGTTCTGATTTTGACTATCGTGTTCAACAACTGGTTCTGCCAGGGGTCCGTCCTCGACCGGATCTCTATGGGTGTGATCATGCTGTTGAAAAAGGACCATGGTGTTGGACGGGATTTAGATAATTACACGCCGATAACTCTACTAAACACGGAGTTTAGGATTATGACCAAGATCCTGTCGGAACTTTTACAGTCAGTTGTCGAAATTATAGTCGTTTGCTGGCAGCGTTTCATTCATTTTGAGACATTCATAACCAGCACACACGTTTCTTTTTTTTCATTACAAGAAAAGCAACGTTTGTACAAAGACATCATATTTTGTAGACTCATATATTTTTATACTTGAAATTTAAAAAAAAATATATATGTTGACGAAGACAGACATACTGTCGAAATATTGTTTAGCATTGTCAAACACTGTTTTTTCTTTATCTTTTCTTAAATAGCACTCTTCTCTTAACTGTTAATAATAATAATAATAATAATAATAACTGAAGGGATTCCTGGAAGTCCATGCCTCAAGGAGATACAAAAAATTATTCTGACAAGAACAGCCCACACTTTACGAAGGGCTTTATCTTTTTTTTTTTTTTTTTTTTTGTCAGTGGAAAGTGTCATGATGCCATTTCTAACCTTAGGTCGATGGACGGGATCCGGGAAGAAATGTGTAAACGCCAGAAATGAAAGGAAATAGAAATAATAATAATAATAATATTAATAATTATAAAATGTGGAAATTGAAAAAAAAAAAGTACCAGTCATTGTAGGGTCGCTTGTAATGATAAAAAAGGGAACACAATACATTTTTTTAAAAATCCCTGGAAATCACAGCTTAAGAGAAATACAAAAAATTGTCTTGATAAGTACAGCCCACACACCAAGAAGAACTTTGTCCATGTAACGCTAGTGATGATATGGGAGTTAGAAAAAACAAATCATGAAATGTAGCCACCCGTCTAGATACATGACTGACGGGGCAGAAGGTTGCTATTTCTTTCTGCGTTAGACCAGTTGCCAT